TGGTAATAATTTTTGCAAAATTAACAGTTATGAGGTTTTATAATGTGTGACAAAATTTTGTTATTTTATTTTGATATCTAGAGTATAAAATTAAAAACCTTTTATTCGTTTAAATTTACTTTTCAGTTTTGTTTTATTTAATAAATGTGTGGTAATCAAAACTGTAATTTTGAGAACCAGAATGTCCGGTAAACCATTACCATATATTCACAAAAATTTCCAAATGAATTATTTTAATAACTTAAATTGTGGTTTTTATTACCAAAATTAACTTTTTTTTACTAAAAATGTAATAATCATAAAGCATGGTAATTTTAGCAGAATTTTTTTTCCGTGTATTATTGCTCTCATAAATCGTCTGAATTTAGAAATATTTAATTGGTTTCTGAGCGCCATTTAAAAATACAAAAGCATAATTGTATTAGAATTAAATCGCACGTTTAAAATCTCAATAGAATCAGGTACTAAAGGTCGAAAACAACTCAGTATGAATACAACAAGACGTATAGGAATCTTTCTATAAGGGAGAAAAAAGTAGTCTCAAAATTAGAAAATTATTTGTCTAGTATTTTTCAAAATACCTCATGTCTTTATTGTTCAAAAATGAAATAAGACTTATTTATGTAACATCATAATGTTGTTAAAGCGGAAATCTGGTCAGTGTCATGTAACAATGGAATATGACAAGCAAGTCTTATAACCTAATTTTCTATTTTAGGTCAACATCTGTCTGTTCAAATAGCTCAATGCGGGGTGCAGTCGGTTATAATAACGCAACAAAATGTTTGTCAATACAATGATGGCATCTCGCATAAACGACCTCGTTAACCAGGGTGTTTGTGCGGGCTTCCTTTTAAGCTACACTTACAGCTTGATGTTAATTGTTAAAAGGGCTTCAAACACACTCTAATAATTTCTTACTCGAATTTCGGCTGATTATCTTTTCAGATACTTGTCTGCCGTTGTGTAAAGCTCAAAACATTCCCGTGTCACTAATTTGAAATGATGTCGACGTGATTGTCTTGATTTCAAATGATTGAGTTTAATAATGAAACTAAGGTGACATTTACCGGGTGTTTTTACCCTTAGTATGTATGTACTGAAAATATTCATCAAAAATGAAATTTGATTGATATTAGAAACGCTATCGTAATCTGACGAATCATTAATGAGTTGGAAGGGATAAAAACAACCAGCCTCTTTCTATTAATCAGCCTCTTTCTATTAATCATCCAACAGCCTCTTTCTGTTAATCATCTTTCTTCTCATTACAAATTATTCCTGGAATAAATCAGGTGGTGATGATTTGAGTAACATATCCACAGTGAGGATTTATTTGACTTTGATAAAAGGAAATTTTTATAAATTATGATAAAATGATAAAAGGAATTAT